CCTGCTGAAGCGTCAAGTATCTGCAGCTGTGAGCGAGAGAGACACGTGTCTGTACCTGAGAGTCATGAGGAAGATGACCAGGTGTCGGGGCTGCAGCTCATTCGCCGACTGAAGCAGCACTTCATCATATCTGCAAACCATCAGCACACGAGTGTCACACGTCACTATGCTTCAATCACAAATTATAAAACAGATAGTTCCGGTACTTGATTCTGATTGGCTGAGCCGCGTTCGAAGCTGTTGTAAATGACTCTACAAAGTAACACACACCTTTGTTTACGTTTGTGTGTTGCTCGGCAACCACTTTGTAGCAACCACAACTGTTTCTGAGGAACTACATTGTTTGGTGGAAGAATACTGTTTTTATTAATATCATTACACTTTATTTGCTGTTTTATTTTGTGAAACCTTACTACATATATGGACTAACCGTAATAATAATTTATTTAATTTTAATAATTATTGTAATTTTACATTTATTTTGCTTAAATGTTAAAATAAATTGTTGACATGATTATTCATAATTGTATCAAGAAACTGCATGCTGGTCATCATAGATTTAAACATGATTGTTATTAATCATAAAAACAGCACTGGTCAATCTCAGTCGTCCACAGTCATAGAAAAACAACACGACTGCGGTAGTAAAGAGGAGCGCATTATACCACATCTCAAGACATTTCTCAGCTTTCCATCTTGTGCTGGACTCATGCATCTCATCATACGCCTCCGTTGCAAATTCCAAAACATTTTATATGCCATTATCAGAGAGAGAGAGAGGTTTCTTTTTACTGGAGTAGAAATAAATGTGACTGTCATTTCCTGTATTCTGGTGGCTTTTATTTAAACAATAGCTTGTATAGCCTACAACGGTTACCACATACCTGGCAAGAACAACTGCTCACAGAAGAAACATACTGCGTAAAAATGTCACGACCAAGAGAGTGCAGCTCTCCCTGAAAACCAGCACGAATGTAAATTTGACACTGATTTTATACAAGAGTTCAAACAAGTAGTTAATATTAAGTGACTTATATTTTAGTACACTACTGTCAATGTTTTTGCTTGATTTGGTTAAAGTAGCTCCAAACAAAGATCACAGCAGGACAGTCGCGCATCTCTGAGCAACACACAGTCAATGATTCAGCGGTGTATTCATAAAGACAAGCACTTTCTTCATTCTCGAATGAATCAGCGTCTGAACGAATCGTTTGAATGAACGACTCAATGACTCACTCATTAAGACGGTCACCTATTGGCGTTTACTTTCAGATTTAAAAGTAGCTTATCTTTGCATTTTTGCATATTTGTATGTATATATATATATATATATATATATATATATACGCCGCAAAAAGTTTAGGAACCATTTCTATACAGTCTTTACAGTTACTGGATCTAAAACAGTGATTGTGCATGAACAGCTGTCAGCCATGTCAGTGCGCAAATGAGCGGAATTTATTTACCCAGCGCATTTTTTATTTTGGTACCACTTATGTGCATCCCTGTTAATGAGTGTGAGTGGGTTTTGTTTCATTTGCTGTCGTCAGCTGTAAGGACCTGTAAGGAAGTAACTGAAATGATTTGGCGCAGCGATACGGAACTATAATGCAACTAATTCACAGCCGTGCATTTTCCTGGAAAATTCCTGCACGCATTAGAACGTCTGTCAGCCAATCAGAATCGAGCAGCTCTGTGGCGTGACAGCATGTGTCACATCGGAGGAGATAAAGCAAACCCTAAAGCCCTCAAACAAACACAACTCGGTGTCCATACCGATACAAACAGCTCTCTGTGTGCAGCGTCACTGAGATCCAGCGCTGACCAGTGTTGGGAAGGTTACTTTGGAAATGTAATAGGTTACAGATTACAAGTTACCCTACCTGTATGATTAAAGCACTGATCCCAACCCTCTCTGCGGTCTGCTCCGGGTCCTCCAGCTCTTTTGAAGCTACACAACATACAAGAGCCTCAGTTATCCAAAAACGAATCACTGATGCCAGAAGGCGACTGCGCTGTGATCATTGGTTTCCATTTGGAAGATTTCATTTTCACGAAGCTGATTCAATACATTTTATTGTCTTTACTGTTTATCCTTTCCATTTGTGTTATTGTCATGTTAGTTTACTTTATGATTGATTGATTAATTAATTAATTAAAACAAGAGGACAAATCCGAATGGTCTGACTGGTCACGCAAGGTTTTTTTTTTTGGCATGCAGCTAGAGAAGTAACGCAATATAAAGATGTTTTAACAAATGTTATACTTTTAGCAATGGACCCTTTTCACATACTGTTATGACACGATTATAAATCGAACTTTTTTGTACATTAAAAATGTACATTTATTTAATTTAACGTACAATTACAGAAAACTTTTCGTACACAACGGCTGAGGAAGTAAATTTGACATCTCTCTCTCTCTTCTCATGTAATCGCTCTAATATTTATTTTCCTCTTTTGGAAAGTCATATAAACATTATCATGGATTTTTTTCCTTTTGCTATTGGATCAAATGGAAACACAAAATGATATTTGAGGTAGTTTCCATTCACAACTATAAAAGTTCACCAACTCTGACAACTTTTGCTTCTGAAAACCCTGGAAATGGCTCCATTAGACATACACAAATTAATTCAGTCTTTATTTGTAGAGTGGCACCCACAAAAATTCCCAGCCGTCATGCAACGGTTCCAAAGCATCGGCGTATAAAGCCCAGAGTATACTTTATTTTTGTAGGCATATGCTAGCATATGTGTGCAGCTGAACGCGTATAGTCCATTTGAGGTGTACTCGAACACAGGCGAATGACACATGCGCTCAGGACAGCTTAATCTTTGTCCAGTGTCTGCGCTATTTATCAGAAGTTTTGACTGATAAAAATGTCTTTGTACTCTTTTAAACTAAAGTTGGGGCTCTTTCATTACCCTCTCACACAAGCACTTGTCAATGCGGCCGTCTGTTGTTGTTGCAGTCTCTGCTGTTTAGTTGTTGTTCTGTCTCTTAGTTTACTGTGAAACAGCGGCCTGGGCCAGTGCTGCCACCTTGAGGAACAACCGATTAGTGCAAAAATAAATCTGCATCAAGGACAAAGTATACTTCAGTTTTTACGCGTACGCGTGGGTCTGCATTGACAAGCGCTTGTGTGAGAGGGTTATGAGAGAGCCGCAACTTTAGATTAAAAGAGTACAAAGACATTTTTATTGGTCATAACTTCTAGAGAAAATTGGCTAGTGTATGCGTACAAAAACCAAGTATACTTTGGGCTTCACGCGCACTGCCCTTGAGTACATGTGACAACCGAAGCATACTTTGGCCTGAAACTGTAAATGTGTGCATCTCTAGAATGAGGCTGTGATGCTGATGATCAGTTATGGTTAGGGATGATCAGTTACGGTTAGGGATGATCAGTTACGGTTAGGATGATCAGTTACGGTTAGGATGATCAGTTATGGTTAGGGTGATCAGTTACGGTTAGGGATGATCAGTTACGGTTAGGGTGATCAGTTATGGTTAGGGTGATCGGTTATGGTTAGGGTAATCGGTTATGGTTAGGGTAATCGGTTATGGTTAGGGACAGAGTATGTGAGCGGAGTGGAGCGTCAACAATTTCCTGCTGCTGCAAGTGCTGCTTTTTTGGTATAATTGCTGCTTTTCAGTGCAACTTTTGTTTGTGATGAAAATAACAGTACATTAAATAGCTTGTAATAACGTCAGTTATTTTACCTACGGATCGATGCATTTCTTATAGATTTCTGCTCATTCGAAATCGGATACAGATGAAGTAGCACTGTAAGATTAGTTGTTGTTATTGTGATT